TAGTCAACAGAACCGAATAATTGCAATATGGAAATATAACAACAAACTTTATGTTAAGTAATCCCTTGCAATAGATAGTTGTTGGTTTTCTTGATGTTTACCCCGTATACATAGGGAAGATTGAGGAGGAATCTCGAATATTTGGATCGGATAGTGCAACTAAACATGCTCTAACACAATGCATATATAACAAAGAAAGTCTGCCAGCTCTGTAGGTAAATGAAACAGTTGATATGCTTGTCTGTTTCCAATTTTCGCATATCTGTAGCTCATTTGCGCATAACAAATCAAATGATATCACCATTGGATACATCTATTAATACATCTCACCGTAAATCTGTTAATAGGATCATTTCAGCATAAGATCAAAAGAAACTCAACTGCAACTGTCCTAGGAACCATGCGTAGCTAATACATTCTTCAAAACAGGGCTGGTTTCTCAGCACACCACTAAAGAATAACAAGCAGAAGTCGTCTATCCACCTTTTGTCTGTCGTTGGGATAGACCAGATTAGATATAAATTATGTGGATAACATGTTACAATATTATCATCGAGCACGTTTCTTTGTTCAAAAACTTGCGTGAATCCATATTTTATTAAGTGCAAAATATAGAAACTTGACTCAATCGATTCCTAATCACTGTAAGTCTTAAATAGTTGAATTATTAGATCAAGGGGGCGTATATCAGAATCATCAGTGGTGAGTCATGACAAATGAGGTTCCAAGCTGGCTCATGTTAACTGGCAAATAAAAAAAGACTATATCATGGTTATTGACTGAGATTACCTAATCTAAAGAATAAAACGATTACTACAAGTAGCAGCCTAATTATGAGAAATAACGCTAATATGCCAAAAAAATCAATCCATGTTCCTGATACGTGCGCAGACGTCAGCTGTGAATGAGGAGCAGGTGCCAGTACCTAAATGACCGTATCAAGTATAAAACCTGATGGCATTTCTGGTTACATCACTTGTAGTCACTTCAATGATTTTTAAGGTTGCATTGCACATCAGACACTTCAACAATTTGGTTGCAACTTTCAAAATAAAACTATTTCTTCATGGACTTGCTACAGTCGTTGTCAGGTGTTAGTATTGTTTTCGCTACTATCCAAAATCCTATATATAAAAAAAGGATACATGCTGTATCCAATCATTGCTGACCTCCAAGATCTCCTGTCTTAGCTGTCCCGTCAGCAATCGCATCGAATACGGCGCGTTCAACCTTTGTTGCGTATGAAGTGAGATTCATATACCGTAACATCATAACTGCAGACAGCAATAAAGCCGTAGGATTGGCTTTATCCTGACCAGCAATATCTGGTGCAGTACCGTGGACTGATCTTAATGATTTATGTTTAAAGAAAAGTAAATTTCACGGATACCGTCTATATATGAAAACACACTCAAACACCGCGGCATCTTCTCCGATATTTCCCGAAGGCGTAACTCCGAGCCCTCCAACTAAGCCTGCGCAAAGAT